CATTGCGTGCATTGCCCCGCTTCTGAAGAAGCGGCGCAGCTGGGCCTGCCATTTCGGCGAGGCCTCGCCCTGACAGGACGTGCTCTGCCTTGTCCTGGCGCGCACTTCGGAATACCAAGAACGTATGAGCATTCAGTTCAGCGGGGTGTCCAGCGGTATGTCCCGTCGCAAGAGGGCCGCCCCCATCCGTGTAACGGTGGTACGACTTTGCACTCGTGGTCACGGGCTTCGAGTGAGTCCGAAGCGACAGATCTTGTTTAACACAAGGGCGTCCCGGATGTGGGCCGATTGTGTTTATGAAGCCCCGAGCGAAGTCCCAGAGCATGTCCGACATCCCGGCAGGCGTTGCAGTAAACAAGCGCGCGCGGCTCGGATGCGACAGCCCCATTTTGAACACGGCCAGGGTCCCTTCTGCGGAGCAGATCCAAGCTTTTGAGGCGAACGACCGTGGCCTCTGCGGCGGGGGCCCCACCACCAACAAACATCGACCTTGCATCTGTGCAGCTGCCGCACCAGGTTGTGTCGCGACCTGTGCGCGGCGCTGACGAGAACACGCCATCTCGAAACTGACCCCTCCTCCTGCTCTTCCTCCTCCTCCTCCTCCTCCTCCTCCTCCTCCCCCTCCTCCTCCTCCCCCTCCTCCTCCCCCCCCTCCTCCTCCTCCTCCTCATCCTTCCTCCCCCTCCTCCTCCTCCTCCTCCTTCTCCTCCTCCTCCTCCTCCTCCCCTCTTCCACCCCCGAACCTCGTGCAGGTGTTCAAGGCGAATGTGTGCGGCGCTAGAGCGAACACCGCGTTTTGACAAAGGAGCCGCCCATCCGCACGTGAGTTGCTGCAGTTGTCGGGCACCGACATGCGAGGCGCGAGGGCACGAGCCATACATTCAAAATGACCTCGCTTAGCCTCTACTCAAGTGATGCAACTGTTGAAGACAATTGTGTTCGGCGCTAAGGCGAGAACAGCAGTTTGAATCGAACCGCCGTCACTCATTGTTTCGAATGTTGCAGGCTTTCATGGCGACTGCTCGCTGCGCTGAGGCGAGAGCCCGCCCTCCATCCGTGACGCGATTGCAACATGGTATCATCAGGCATGTCGGCTTAAGACGGGCGTGCGCCGCACTAAGGTGATAGTCACATGTTGACCCGTCCATTCCTGAAACTGATGCACATGTTGCAGACGAGTGCGCGCGGCGCTAAGGCGAGAACTCCATGTTGAAGATGAGTCGCCCTACATCCTTGAAATTCGAACGTTTAAGACACATGTGCGCCGCGCTGAGGATATAACTACATTTTGGACACATTCCCGCGTTCTATCTTTCGATAGGTTTCTGACTTTTAAGATGAATGAGCCGCGCTCAGGTGACATTTCAATTTCGAAGACGACCCGCACTCCAACCGCGGGGGATTAGGAGGACGAGGAGGAGGAGGCGGGAGGAGGACACGGATGCGGATGAGGGTGGTGATGAGGAGAAGGAGGATGGGGGAGGGGCGGAGAGGGGGCGACAATATCAGGGCGGGGGGGAGGACGGGGGGGCGAGCAACATCAGGAGGCGCAGGATGGTGATGATGCTGATGCTGATGATGATGCTGATGATGATGCTGATAATGATGATGCTGATGATGATGGGGCTGATGATGATTCTGATCATGACGATGATGATGATGCTGATAACGTTGATGCTGATGATGATGCGGATGCTGATGACGACGATGATGGTGTTGCTGCTGATGCTGATGCTGATGCTGATTGTGATGGTGATGGTGATGATGCTGCTGATGATGATGATGATTATGATGATGATTGTGATGACGATGATGTTGCTTCTGATTGATATTGTGATGACTCTGATGACTATGGTGATGATGACGGAGATGGTAATGCGGATTATGGTGACGATGATTACGATTATGCTGATGACGATGATAATGACGATGACGATTCCGATTCTGATGATGCTGTTGACGATACGATGGTGCTGATGATGCTGTTGATGATGATGACGCTGGCGAATGTCATCATGGTGAAGGCGGTGGTGATGGTGATGCCCATGCTGATGTTGATGATGCTGATTATGATGATGGTGATGGTGAGGGCGATGGTGACGGTGATGATGATGATGACGATGCTGATGAGGATTACGGTGATGATGCACTGATGATGAGATGATGGTGACGATGATGATGGTGGGGATGGGGATGGGGATGGTGATGCTGATGATGACGACGATGATGATGACGATGATGATGCTGATGATGCTGATGCTGCTGATGCTGCTGATGATTTTGCTGCTGCTGCTTCTGCTGCTGCTGCTGCTGCTGATGATGATGATGATGATGAGGATGGTGGTACTGGTGGTGTCGGTGCTAACTGTGAGACTATTGCTGTGTGGAGAATGAGGGTGATGAACACAGAAGCATGATTCCGACGACCATGATGGTGCCTATCATGAAGATGATCCCCCTTCCGCCTTCTCCCGTCTCCAAATCCCTGACGTCATGGTATTTTCATAACGTCGACCCCCAGAGGCCTTGACCCATACCCCTGGACCGGCTTTTCATTCTCAGTCGTTTTTGGCCCGGTAAGGGCCCCCGGGAGGCCGAACATGGAGAACAGCCGTCCGTCCTGCTCCAAGTGGCTTACGTCATTCCGCCGACCCCCCAGAGAAATCGAGAAAGCGAGAGAGAGAGAGAGAGCGCCCTATGATTGCGGAAGCCATTCGGAGGCTTCTTTGGGGCGTCTTGGGGTCTCTTGGGGATCTCCTGGGCGTATGCTGGCGGTCTGAGGCCTCCCTCAGGGGCGGAGGGCTGGAAATGCCAGGCGGAGGTCTCCTCTGGGGCCACTCTTGGGGCAGTCCAGAGGCCCTCTTGGGCTGTCTTGGGCGCCTCTGGGGCCTTTTGTGGGGCCCTCCAGGGTCGTCTTGGGGCCCTTTGGAGGGCACTTTTGGGGCCCATTGGGCGGTCCTGGCACGCCGTGGATAGCAAAAGGACGAGTACGCCAAAAGCAGATGTTTTTCCCGAGGGCATTTTCGACGATCAGCGCCGGCGTTTTTTTTGTTTGTTGTCCTGGCCCGAGGGGGTCTGGCCTCCCGCCCTCCCTCTCCCTTGTCCTCCCCTCCCCTTCCTCTCCCCTCTCCCTCCCCCCTCTCCCTCCCCGTCCCCTCTCCCTCCTCTCTCCCTCCCCCCTCTCCCTCGCCCCCCTCTGCCTCCCCTCTCCCTCTCCCCTCTCCTCTCCTCTCCCTCGCCCCCCTCTCCCTCGCCCCCCTCTCCCTCCCCTCTCTCTCTCGCTTCCCCGTCTCCGGGGTGGGGGGGTCCTGCGCTGATCCAAGAACGTCCTCGCGGACCTCCGAGAGTTTCTGCACCAATCGGTGCTTGCGCTTCGGGGGCTCCCTGCTTGTGTTCTAAGCGGGGCAACGAAGCTACAGACAGTGTGCCCAAACGTTGGGGATCCTTGGCCTCGTGTCTATGGATCTGTGTGCCCCTGGGCCCCTTCGGAGAAGTCCGCGCGGACCTCCGAGAGCTTCTGCACCAGACGGTACCCTGCCCTTGTGGGTGGGCTCCTTGCCCGTGCTCTCGGGAGCTCTCCCTGGTCGTCGGCCTGGCTGGCACGTGGCCGCCCGCCGCCGCCCCCGTCCTCCCCTCCTCGCACCCGTCTCTCGACCCGCCGAGCGCTCTCCGCTGCTGGCACAACTGCCCACTTCGAAGGAGAGAAAACGCCACAAAAACATACTCCAGATTTCGTAATCAAGGGAGGGGGGTCTCATTTCGGGGGGGGGTCTCTTCCGGGCCATCTTGGAGGGCCTGGGGGGGTCTGGGGACGATGTTTTGGAGGGTTCTCCCACGAGGGGGGGTCTGAAATGGCTTGTCTTGGAGGGTCCAGACCCCCTCCCTTTTCTCACGACATCTGGAGTACACGGTGGGTGTGATCGTCTTCTCATTCGTGGTTTCGCCGCCCGCCGCCGCCCCGTCCTCCCCTCCTCGCACCCGTCTCTCGACCCGCCGAGCGCCTTCCCGCTGCTGGCACAGCTGCCCACTTCGAGGGGAGAGAAAACGCCACAAAAACATAAGCAGTGAGTGTGGTCGTCTTCTGATTCGTTAACTTTGCCGAGCGGCGCGGGCCCTCGCACCCCGCCCCTCCCCCTCCCCCAGGGAGCAGATCTGAGCTGGTTTGGTCGCCTGTTTCGAGCAGGTGGGGTCTCCCCCATAGGACGCACTGCTGCAAGCAGTCGCATTAAGCAGAGGTCCAGAGCCAGACCCCCCCCTCCCTCCCCCTTCCGCCCTTTGTCGAAACGCCGAATGAGAAAATGCTCACAATAAGAAAACGATCACGAGGCGAGTGTGCGTTTTTTTTCGGACGTTTGTGAGTAGGCATCTTGCCAATATAGAATAAGAGAAACGCCGCAAACAGACTTTGGATTTCTTGGCTTGGCGCTGGCCCCCCCCCCGCGGCGCCTCCGCCGCCGCCCCTGGCGCGCTCCGCGCGCCAGGTAGGGGATCCTGCGCAGATCCAAGAAATCCGCGCGGAGCGCCAAAAGTTTATGTCTACGGCGTCTCTCTTATTCCATATTGGCAAGGTGCCTACTCGCAAACGTCCGAAAAGTACGTTCGCCTCGTGACTGTTTTCTGATTAGCTGTTTTGCCGATCGGCGCAGGCCCTCGCACCTTCTCCCCCCTATGGAGTAGATCTTGGCTGTTTTTGGCGCCTGTTTCAAGCAGGTGGAGCACCTGTTTGGACGCACTGTTCCAAACAGTCGCACTAAGCAGAGATACGGAGCCAGACCCCCCCCCCCCACTCACCCCCCTTTGTCGCTCAATGTCGGAGCGCCGAATAAGAAAACGTTTGCCTCGATGTAATGGATCGTGAGTCCTCCGCGGCGGATCCAGGCCATTTGCGAGCAGTGATTTTGCGAGTAGTCGGAACGCGCTTGCCTCTGGGCTCACCGAGCCCCGCCCCGAGCCTGCGCCCGTCTCCCAGCGCCCCTCGCTGGCCCCGCTTCCCGCCGCAGGTGCAGCAGGGCCTCCCCATGACCGGCCTGCCGCTGAGGGTGACCGAGGCCCCGCGCTCAGGGCTCGTGTCGATTCCTCCGATTCGATTCGACCCGATTTCGATGGCTTCCGATTCCGATGCGATTCGACTTGGGATTCAGATTCGGGTTCGGATTTCTTATCGGAGCCATACCAGCCTGCGGATGTCCGCCGATTCGGATTTTTCCCGACTCGGCTGCCGCTTTCCGCCGATCCGATTCGTGCCAATCGCCGATCCGACGTGCCGATTCGCCTCTGGGCTCTCCTGCGCGGCAGCACCTGGGGGGGGGGAGCCCAGACTCCCTCGAGCAACGCAGCAATCACGACGGGAGGTTTTTCGCTATCTTCGGCCTCCCTGGGCTCTTACGTATACTGGGCTTCGGGACCGTCGAATCGATAAGGACTCAGGATGGAGAGCCCGTCCAGGGGCATGGGTCGAGACCTCTGCGGGTCGACGTTGTGACAAATACCATGACGTCGGGGGTCTGGCAAGGGGAGCGGGATTCTAGGATGCAGCTCCTGGGACGTTGGATTCTGAATCGGCGCTGGCATATCCATCCCGCTTGCTCTGGCCAAGTCCCGTTCAATTTGGCTTCATCCGCTTACTCCGACTTGATCCTGGTGTTAACCCGGCTCAATGGCTTTTCAATTGGGCTTAAAAGTCTTTAGTCGTTCTGACGAATAACTCCCAGGAGTTGCTTCTGATTGGATTGGGGAAAGGAGGCGGGCAGGGATGGAGGCGAAGGCACCTTGTCCAAGCTGGGCAGGGATGGGCGTCTCTTTTGACATTGAGTCATGTGACAGGACAGCGTTTTGTTGTTGTTGTTGTGGTTGTTGTTGTGGTTGTTGTTGGTGTTGTTGTTGTTGTTGTTGGTGGTGGTGTTGTTGTTGTTGTTGTTGCTGTTGCTGTTGTTGTTGTTGTCGTCGTTGTTGTTGTTGTTGTTGTTGTTGTTGTTGTTGTTGTTGTTGTTGTTGTTGTTGTTTTTGTTTTTGTTGTTGTTGTTGTTGTTGTTGGTGTTGTTGTTGTTATTGCTATTGTTGTTGTTGTTGTTGTTGTTGGTGTTGTTGTTGTAGTGGTTGTTGGTGTTGTTGACGTTGATGCTGTTGCTGCTGCTGCTGTTGCTGTTGTTGTTGGTGTTGTTGCTGTTGTTGCTGTTGTTGTTGTTGGTGTTGTTGTTGCTGTTACTGTTGCTGTTGCTGTTGTTGTTGTTGTTGTTGTTGTTGTTGTTGTTGTTGTTGTTGTTGTTGTTGTTGTTGTTGTTGTTGTATGTGTTGTTGTTTGTGTTGTTGTTTGTGTTGTTGTTGGTATTGTTGTTGTGGTTGTTGTTGCTGTGTTATACATGTCGTATATGGTTTCTGTTTTGATGATTTCAACTGTTCGCTTTGTGTTGAACAGTTCTTTCCTGGCGATTACGAGCGTCAGTGTCTCGGGACCCAGAACCTGACGACAACGCCCGGCGAAACAATTGCAACACTAGGATCCCCAGGTTCTCCCCGCTTTCCCCGTCTGCGGTGGTAGGGCTTCGGGCTGTGCGCAGGCAGCTGGGTTCCTCAGGTAGTCCTGGCTGGCCTCAGCAGGCCTCCCGAGTAGTCCCAGGCCGTCCGAGTAGTCTGGGGTCGGCGTCCCCCCCCGACATACCGATACTGTGTGTACGTCGCCCCGCCAGAGACGACGCGCGCACAGAGAAACCTCGTAGTATATGCGTCGTGGCGGGCGCGTTCTGGCCACGCCGCTCGTTCGGGTCGGACGCGCGCCTCCCAGGAGGACCTCTTGGGCGTTTCAAGAAGCGCCTTGCCTTCGAAGATAGAAAGAAATGCCATCTCTTCTGCGGCGGAAGGGCGGCGGGAGGTCGGCGGAAGCAACACGAGGCCGCCTCCGCCGGCGGAGGCCGGCGGAAGGCCGGCGGAAGGTTGGCGGAAGTGAAAGATGCGCCATCGAGAGATGAAGACGTTTTTGGGTTCATGGTTTCCAGAATCCGCCATGTAGTACAGTGGAGGCCCATGCCAAGAAACATCCTGCTTGCCTCCAGGGTGCCCTGAGTCTCTTGGGTTTCGATGGTTTTGTGGTGGAGAACCTGGCGTCCCCGTGCCGAAAACCAGTGGACGTCCTGGGGTCTCAGGGCTGGGCTTCTTGTGGAAGGCTTCTGCTGGTCGGGCCCCTGCTGCCTAGCACTAGTATGTCCTGGCCCCTGCTGCCTAGCACTAGTATTCCAGCGTCTTGACTGTAGGATGAAGGGGAGGTGGGGGAGGAGGAGGAGGAGGAGGAGGAGGAAAGGGAGGGGGAGGAGGAGGAGGAGGAGGAGGAGGAGGAGGAGGAGGAGAGAGGAGAGAGGAGGAGGAGGGAGGAGGAGGAGGAGGGAGGAGGGGAGGAGGAGGGAGGAGGAGGGGAGGGGGAGGGGGAGGGGGAGGGGGGGGAGGGGGAAGGAGGAGTGCGTCCCTGGGGCGGTCTCAACACCTCAACCCGGTCGCGCCAGCGCGGAGCGTCGGCGGGCGGCCGCGCGCGGCGGCCGCGGGCGGCGGCCGCGCGCGCGGAGGCGGCAGCGCACGGGGGGCACTCTGATGCGCTGCTCGAGGGCCCCCACCCACCAAACCACCCCAACCCAACCCGAAGGTCTCGATTTATCCTCGATTTCCAGTGGGGGGGGGTCGGGGGGGTCGGGGAACCTCGAGAAAACACGTGTGGAATCCTACCCCCCCCCAGAAATTCGGGTCTTCGGGTTGGGTTGGGGTGGTCTGGTAGGTAGTCAGAGGGCCCAGGGCCGACGGCACGGAGAGCGGCCACGGCAGGTTCGTGCCGTGCCGACCGGCGGCGGCCCCAGCGCGTGCGTGTAAGGTTGAACGCCGCCCGTGGCCCGGGGTCGGCCCGTCGTTGAACGATCCGGCGTTCGCGGGACGGCCGATCGTTCAAGTTTGAACGATCCCCGCGGTGTCAGGAACCAACGCCAGGGTCGACACGACGCGAACCTGCCGTAGGCGGGCCGCGTGACCTGCGAATTTGGATATTCTTCGATCGCTCCGCTCATTCCGCCGGCCCGTATTGTGCCATCGCAGGCGTTTGCCTGCGCGTTCGTGGCCTCTTGGAGCCTCGTGGGGGCTGTTTGGGGGCCTCTCGGCGCCTCTTTGTGGGCCTCTTGGGGACCTCGTGGGGTCTCCAGGTGGCCTCCTGAGCTCTCTTGGGGGCCTCTTGGGGCCTCCTGAGGGCCTCTTGGGGCGGAAGGCTCGACTTGGTGGTTCGTGTTCTCCCTCTTGGGCCCCTCTTGGGGCTGTCTTGGGGCCCTCTTGGGTGATCTTGGGAACCTCTGGGGCCGTTTGGGGCCCTCTTGGACCGTCTTGGGGACCTCTTGGGCCGTCTTGGGGTCCTCTTGGGCCCTCTTGGGGCTCTCTTGGAGGCCTCTTGGGCCGTCTTGGGGCGATATTTGGGGCCTCTTGGGCCGTCTTTGAGCGTCGGGAAGCCGAACTAAAGGGAAGTCTATGGTTTTTGCTCCTGGGGCCCTCTTGAGACGCTTCTTCGAGGCCTCTTTGGGCTTCTTGGGGGCGTCTGCGGCCGTCTGGAGGCTATCTTGGGCGTCTTGGACCGATCGGTCGGCGACTCGGAGCCCTCTTGGACCGTTTTGGGGACTCTTGGGGCCCTCTAGGAGCGCTCCGGGGCGCCTGAAAGCCACGCCCAGAAGGAATAACCATCTCTTGGTCGGACCGCCAGGGGTACTTTTCGTCCTGGGACTCCCGGGAGCCGCCCCGCTCGCGCGGACTAGAAGTGTTGTTTACCAGTAGCTGGAGATCTTAACACGCCTCTGGCCCGTTGGGCCACCGATTTTTTACGGAAGGAGTGTTCCTAGAGGCCTCGTGCCAGGTGTTGTGCGGGATGTCTTGTCCGTTTTTGTGTGGGCTCTCGTGTTGGGCTCTGGGCGTCGATTCGCGTTCTCTTGCTTCGTTCTCCTGCACAAGTCGTCTTGTGCGCGTCTTGTGCGCGACCAGTTCCTGCTGGCAGCCCGCGCAAAATAGTTTATGCGCGGGCTCCGGGTACATCTGTGCAGTTGAAAACAGAGCAAGGGTCAGGTCGCGAAACACAGGAGAGACAGCAAGACAGGCATCAATGGGTGGCCGGACGCGGAGGGGGGGAGGGGGAGGAGGGAGGAGGGCGGAGAAGGGGGCTTCGGCATCGAGATTGGAGGGCTGACCCCTGTTGGCATTACGTGCAAATCGGATTTACGTCGTGCTCCCGCATGCTCGGGTTTCGCCCAGTGGGTTCTACATTTGCAGTTCGTCACGCGAGTAAAACATTGTTTCTCGCTCTTCGGCTTGCTGCCAGGAGCCGTCTCGATGTCGGTCGCGAGCCGCACAGAGTATCTGATTAGGTCTTCTGTTTGGTGGTCGACGCGTCACCCGTGCACGCTGATATTTTCCTCACCCTCACCCCCTCCTCTAGCCACTTGAGGCTTCTTGCTCAGCCTGCCTCTGTTGCGCGGCGCGCGCGGGCAACGGGTCAGGACAACATTTGCGTGCGCGCCATCGCGCTGCAGGCGATGCGCATCAGCCTCGCGCCAAACCAGGCGCTCTGGTGGCAGGGGGCAGATGGGCAGTTTCCAGGCGGTGTGGTAGTCGTGGTGTTGGTGGGGAGAACCATGTAGCGCTGTGGCGCGGAAAGTCATTCAGATCCGCCCGATCTTCATTGCAGTAGTGGCGACAGTAGTGGTAATGATCCAGCTGGTGGCGATGATGGTGGTGGTGGTGGCGGTGGAAGTAGTACGCAGTGAGAGCGGCAATCATCGTACAAAGAGATAGGGCAGTGTTACACGTACTCGTGGCGATCACAGCAGCAGTCGCAGCGGCAGCTGGAGTCCCGAAGGGGAATCAGTATTCGTTTTTGTAGCCGCTGTTGCCATATCACTAATGATGGCAATATAGTTGGCGGTAATAATACCGAACGGCAGTTCCTCAATGTGTTAATGCCAGTTGCGCAAGTCATGAATGCCTTGACGGTTGTGAACACCCCCGTGGTAACATAATACGCAATAATGATAGTTCTCGTAGTCGTCGTCTTTGCCGTAGTCTTAGCATAGCTGTGCGTATGGCAGGTTGAATGGTAGATGCTGTGCCTGTGGCATTTTTAGTAGGTGCTAACAGTAGTTGTTGTCGTTACTGTTGGTGTTGGCAGGAGCCATGGCTAGATGTAGCTGTCGCAGTAATAGTCGCGGTCGTGTGCATCGGCTAGGGGGAACAAGGGAATAACGAGGCATGCATGGCGGCGCGCGTGTTGACTTCGTGGTATTCGTTACAAGAGTTTTTTTGGAAAACTGTTCTTGAGATGGGCGACTGCGCGCGCATTGTATTATGTTACCAGGAAGGGGGGCAATATAGGCTGGGCTGGGATGGATTTGCTTCATACTGAGAATGAGCGATGGGACTGAAGCATATGGTTTTTGCAGTATCCCAGGGGGACCCGATAACGCCCGGGGGAACCAATGCTCGCGCCAACATCCCTCGCGCCAACATCCCATTCTCCCACCCGCAACTTGCTGTGCAAAACTCGTTTGGCTACGATTGTGGTTGCCGATTGGAACTTGCTGGAGCCTCTCAGAGGCCGCAGTGGCGTGCGCCCGCTCACTCGCAGATCGGCCAGCTGGTTTGGCAATGACAGCGGCGGCGATGATCCCGATGGCGTGGATTAGCGACGGGTGCCGTTTCCATGGGAAATCGTGTATTTCCGCCGCTGAGCGAGGCGGCACCGGCTGCATTTTGGGGAGGGCACCTCCCCCGATTTATGGATTTGGCGACCGCGCGCCAAATCCACGGATCGCTGATTCCGTTCTTGCGCGCCCCCGAGATGTTGACGATGATAGATGTGGTGACGCCGACGACGACGATGTTAAGTCGGGCATGTCCTTCTACAGGAGGAATATTCGAAAATAGCATACCATTGTCATTGGACGATTTTTCGAGTATTTTTACATTTTTCTTGAGTATTTCTAATTTTTCGTCCAAAACCCCACTATAGAAGGACATGCCCGACCTAACGACGATGACGACTGCGCTGATCAATCTGCTGAGAAGCTGCACGCCCGCACAGGAATCA